GTTTTTACTACCTTGCTCCTTATAATGGTCCAACTGTGGTAAACAGGGCAGTTGCTTTTAGCTTTCTGAACTTATTTAAACCATCTAAACTTCTCACCATGGTAAATCTGTGCAAAGAAGAGGGGATGTGAGAGGAGGCATGTGTAATTGTATGCTAGTAAGAGCCATATACATTTCATGGGACTATTTTAACAAACGGTATTATTGCATCGCCCCCAGCTTCATTCCCACTTTAGCAAATTATTTTCATTAGTGAAAGTTCCAAGTACACCTCCATTTGGAGTTTCTTTCTACATCTTCCCACATAGAATCTGTCAGAAACCTGCATAAGTGGACAGCAGTCTCATTGACCTTTGTGTCGACTTCCAGAATTTCTTCTATTTTAGTCTTTGGTTTTGTTAGGCCACATGTCAGAGGAGCAACAGTGGCCTCAGTACCAGCTAGCCTGGCTTGTGGGTCATAGCAAATGCCTTAACAAAATGCATATGGCAATGCACAAGGCAGAGCCCTCACTGAGGAAGGAACGAGGGCATCAGTGAGAATACACCCACCATGGACCTTACTGAGATGAAGAGCAGCATTTTTTGTGGGTAAGCTTTGGTAGTGTTATACAACTGCTCTTAATTTCTGCAAAAGTTGAGGAAGTAGTTATGCTTAGCCAATTAAATATGTTGAAGTGGGAAGAAGTGCAGATATGCTTATTGGTGGGTCTTGAATGAAATTTAGTTTTGGGTTTGGGTTTGGTTTTATTTGGTGTTGGTTTGTTGTTTGGGGTTTTGGTTGGTTTTGTTTGTTTTTTTGTTTGGGGCTTTTTTTGAGAGGGGGAGTCCTACTATATTTAGAAACCTTCATGAAACGTCTGGATAGATGTGTGAAACTAACATTATGTGTGTATTATGCATGGTTCTTAGATTTTCAGCTGAATTGGAAGAAAATGGGGAATATCACTTTGGCATTGCTTACAAGCAATTAATTTGGAAGCTAAGGTATCCATGTCATTCAGCACTACATGCTTCTTCTGTGGTCTTAGCTGACTACTCATGTTGCCTCCTCTGAAATGGCTATAATGATTTACCTTTCTATATTTTTCTTTTTTTTATTACTGTTTTTGAATGACTCTTAGCATACTTGTGGACGTTCACTAGAGCAGAATTGTAATGGTGGAGATGCTGCGGCTTGAGAAAACAATTCAGGACCTGTCTTGTTTTCAGTAGTAATAAGAGTTGGCCATTATATTTTACAAATTGTCAAGAGAAATAAATAGATTTATTATACATGCAAAAGTATTGTGCTGGGGTTTTATTTTTCTCCAAAATGTACTGTCATAAAAGCCAGTATATTTTTCTGCATTCTGGCATTTCAATATCTATCAATTAAAGCAAAAGAATTAAATGCCACTAGTTTCATTGGGAAGGACTAATGAAGATTTCAAGAAGCCTTTTTAATTGATGCATTTTTAATGTTAGCCCGTAAAACAGACTTCAAGCCAAGAACTTTATGTGTAGGCAGAAAAATTATTTTCTCTATGTCTTTGTTCTCAGAGGAATACAGTCTCAAATGAAAAGCTTAGCAAGCAGTGCTGTGCGAGTCCTGGATGGAGAAATATGGTGGGGCCTGAGTCCATACCCCTATTCGTGTCCCTAAGGATGAATCCTTTTCAGGACTGACTATTCTGTTTGCCTTGTAGATGTGACAGGAGTTAGGACCAAATGACACATGTTAATGGCCTTATTCTGCACAGGATTTTAGACTTCAGCTCTTACAATGAGATCAGTTGTGGGTCTTCAGATCTTTCACTATTGCGTGTTGGAGTCAACTGTGAGGCTTTCTGCTTCTTAGTTGCCAAGGCTGGTGATCCTTTTAGAGCATGAGAACTCCTACCCAGGCCAGAATAGAACCTAAACTCACTCTGGCTTTTAATACCCATCCCCTCATCTTACTCTAGTGGGAATATGGGCAGCATTTAGTCCCAAACAGTAAGAAATGTCTGTGGGTTCCCGGATCTATGAGTAGCTTGTGAGTGCAGGGTGCCAATTCTAAATCCCTGAATTACACCTAGGATACTATGTTTCTATAGTTTACATTTACTTGTTGAGCTTCAGCTGTATGGTTTTACATAGCAGCTTTTAAGAAAGGACTCTGCCTGAAGAGTAGTTTTGAAATGTAAAGCCGTATATCTGAGGACCCACAGTCCATCTTCAACATGGACTGATTTACACTGTCATGCATGTCCCCTCCCAGCATGTTACTCAATGATCCTGGCAGCAGAGTTAGTATTCCTTATGACTGCTCTAAAGAATTTTTCAGTCCAGTATTGTTCTCACCCCTCTATGGCTGCATCTATACTAATAAATTAAACACTATCAATTGCTGTCACTTTTGAGGCCAGGAGGCCTGAGACTGCCTGCTTCCATTGCTAGAAAACTTTTTTACCTCCCAAAACAGGCAATAGCATCTAAAATGCCTGTTGGGAGTTACTTGTAGTTGATATTCATTCCTGGACAGCAGCCAGGAGTTATTTGGGAAAGTGCTGCTTGCAACAGGTCAAAACTATTTCAGGAACTGTTACCGCAATATAGATGGCTGAGTTCCCATGCTAAAAGTATTGCTTGGTGCTATTAAACATACCAGTATGGGAGTAGGCTATTTTAATTGACAGAGCAAAAGGCTTTTTCCCAACAGTGTGGTGGGAAACAGGGCTACCAAGAAAGACAAAATACTCTCATAAGATTGCTCCAGCTTAACCAGTACTTCTGAACGGCTCTCTTCAGTCTGATGCTTAGGAGAAGTCAGAACTCAGGATGGCAGCCAGTTAGGAGGATGCTGCCCTCTTGGTTTGTCTAAATATTGAACCTCCTTTTGCCTGGCTATTTTTGAAGGGTATCAGGATTCTGCTGCATACAAATAAATTTCTTCAGCTCATGCTCTTCTTTACTTTATGTTAATTAGTTTAGAGGAACACATTTTATTAGCATCTTTGATTAGCTCTTGATGTTTTAGCAAGTGAGTGAGATGTTGTTCCAACTGTTTGAATGTGGAACACCTATGGACACTTTGATATGCTGATTTCCTTCTGGAGATAATCCTTTCCTCTCCAGCACATTAATTGAACTGTCATCTCTCTGACTTCCTCCTTTCCCTGCAGCATGGATTATGCTATTCTCTGCATTGTTATGACTACAGGTTTAGTATTATGAAAAATACCATTCAGACATTCAGTCTGGCAACCCTAGATACATTTCTGGGTTTCCATAGAGATGACACACAACGAATTAACATATATAAGACCTGACTTTTCTTTCATCAGGTCCAGAAACCTGAGTTCCTTTCTTGTGATAGGGACACTTTAAATGTACTACTTAGTTTGGTGTAGCAGGGTGTTTTCTCTATTCAAAGGCAGTGCAGTCTTGCTCTAAAACATTTAATTGCTTCCACTCTTGTAATCATCTTTTCGGATACCAAAACTGAGTTAGCTTTTCATCTATCAGTGTGCTAATCGAGGAAATGCAGTGTCAGTTTTAGCATAGGTAGGGAAACACAAAATCTGCAGTTTAAAATTTCAAGTTCCAAAAGTTATTATGTGCAATCTTACCACTCAATAACTCATCTTTCATCAAAAATATGTGAGTGCTTAATACTTGGGTAAGAAGACTATTAATTTGTGCAACCATGATATACAGGTACTTTGTAGGTCAGGGAAGCCTATGTTTCACTTGGTTATTTCTGTGTTATGCATTGGCAGAGGTCTGCGTTAACTGCTCAGGTAACAGAGGAAAGGGAGTGAACTGGGAATGATGAGACTCTAAAAGCCTAGCTTGCTACAACTCAAGCAAGCACTTTGAAGTGGTAACATGGTTTTGTATTGTGTAGAGTAGCAGAGAAGAAGTTGTGGGTTCTTGTGTTTCCCAACTTCTCCTCAATAAACCACTCCTCACTGACCAGAACATTTGCCGAAAATGCATCTACTCACCATTTCAGATCATGGAGTGAAAGATTAAAACACACTTGGCAGTGTGTTTCAGCTGTTAGTCATCATGACTCTTTGACTGCCAAGGCTTTTTCTCCAAGGTTATGTCTTTAGTAGTGGCATCTTCTCCCCAACAGAGGTAGCTGGTTGCCCTGTTAGCAGAGTAAATCTTTGTGTTGAATGTCTCTTGAAGCACTCTTTATGCTCTCACTTCAGTGCTTACATGCTTTCTAAATCTGTATACAGAAATAGAATTTCTTCTTTCCTCTAAGTCTGCTGCTTTGAGTGAGCAAAGACTTCAATAGATACACCTGGGAGTGCAGGTTAGGAAACTGATTCCTGATCACAGCACCCAAACTCCCATTATTTGTGACCTTGTTTAACTGTACTTAGTTGAAACTGAAAAGAAGCAATGCTACTTTTAAAATTTGTTTATAAGGGATGTGATTGGAAAAAGAAAATTGCCCTTGCCAGAATAAGAAAAGACAATGTTGTGCAGTTCTGCTACAACTAAAGACAAGCGTTGGGTTTTTTTCCCAATGCAACAAAAATGCTTCAAAGTCTTTCTGCTTGATTAAGTAATATGTTGTAAGGCTGTGTTGTATTAACCATGAAGAAAAATTCCTTAAAATAATGTTTTAAGTTACTTATCTGAGATTTATACATCTAGTAGAAGGATTTGCAACAATTCAGTGAAGCAGTTGCATCCTGATTAAATCCAATGGTGTATGAGTCTGTGTTACAGGAGCTTTACAATGAGGAAAGAAAGTATAACCACTGTACACCCAAAACATGCAAACAGCAATAACTGTTTGCTTAAATCCTCCCAGCAAATGTCTTATCCACACTATCGGTTCTGTATCCTGTCCCATTTCATTTTGTCTGTTTCCATAACCCTTTTTTTCCCCACCTGTGATGTTTTTCAGCAGACACGTGATAAAATCTCTAGGCTAGATTCCAAAGGTGGAATAAAAAGCTGTGTTTATTTTTATAGGAGCACTAACAATTCTATTTGGATTGGATTTCTTCATAGCAAAACCAATGAATTATTGAACAGATTGGATGTGGGTTTGCCAAAGAGTGATTCCTGTCAGATTGCTAATCCTGGCCCAGAATCTACAGCATGGGTAAGCAAAACCGTGGCATGTGCTGTATTTTCTATCATCTTTCCAGGTGCTGTCAATAGTGTAATGTTAGAATATTCTAATTGAGCTTAATTGCCTAGATACAACTCAGTGAGTACCAAGGAGTCTTTCTGGGTGAATGAGACTGCCTACATTATCTCTCACACACTGGCAGAGTATTCTACATAGTAGGGTACTGCTCAGATCTCTCTCTCTGATAAATAAGAACCAGATTTATATTCTAAGGTCAGATCGGAATCTTAAATGTGCCTTGTATCCATCCATTGGTGGTAAGCTTTTTTGAAACCTCAAATTCATGTCAGCAGGTGCTTTACTGCATTAGAAATCTAGTCAAAACAAAAGCTTGTTTCTCACTGCATCCTAGAAGTGATTCCATACAGTGCTTGAGGTCTTTGTCCCAGTTCGAATGAGTCTGGTAAGTATGAATGTAATGAGGAAATAGATGAAGTATTGCTTAAATTTCATTATTCTAATTGCCTCTAAAAGGCTTTTTCACATGCAATTAGTCTCTTCACGTCTAAACCAAGCAGTCTTACTAATGTGAAAACTTGCAAAGAGGAATATTAACCCTGATATAGAAGTATTTCTCCTGTAGGGAGGTTTGTACTTGGAGGAAGACAGCAAATAGGCAGCCAAGTGGACAGAAATTTTCATTATGAGCAACTCAGCAGG